CTTGAACTTTTCTGGGTTTTTTGTTGTCGTGTGAAACATTAAAAACAGAAACAATCTGAAGCTCTCTTCAGAGGCAGCTCGAGGCTCCTGCAGCATCTCAGCTGTTCCCAGGACTGCGCTCGTCTTCACAGAGATGTCCGATGTTGTTCCCGGGATCTGTTGGAGTCGCTCTCCCAGTTTGGGAGTCGCTGCACCGAGTGCTCTGATTACCACGGGGACCACCGTCACCTTCACATCTTCTGCAGCTCTTCTCTGAGCCCTTGGTGCTCCTGCAGCTTCTCGTGTTCCTTCTTCCTGAGGTTGCTGTTGTTCAGCATCACTGCATCTGTCACTACGGCCGTCTCCTGGTCGTCTACCACCATCTTTCAGTTTTAGCTAACCTCACCTTTATTTAAGCCTCTGTTCACCACTCACCTTCCAGCTGTTCATCGGACCTGAACGGCAATAACTAACTGGAAACACGGGCTGTTCTAACACTTGTGTTTGTATATGTGCGTTAAACATTACAATAATTATTATAATTAAGTAATAAAATAAAACTAATTTCACTCACTAATACTGGACGATAAAATGTTTCGGTTCAGTACAGAGATAAACTTTAGTATAAAACTTTTTAGAGTTTTATAACGTGTACTTTACTCTAACTCTGCGTTTACATGAGCTTTTCTATGGCAGTATTTTTTCTGCTGGTGAAGTTCAAACTAAAATGTATTAAATTATTAAATATGAAGATTTGAAATTCAACCAAATTAAATGAAAAGGTTAAATAACAAACAGCAGTAAAACCTGGATCGAACCTCTCTGATGAAGTCCTCGTACTTCTGGACCGCCTCCTTATGCGACGCCACCGTGTTGAACTTCCCGGGGAACGGCCCGTCGGTGCCGGTGCACAGGATGAGGTGGGAGTACTGGACCTCCTGCGGCACAAACGACACAGATTCAGCTGCAGCTTCACCTCCTCCTCATGCTGCAGAAGAAGCTCCACAGGGAGCTGCTGTGGTCCTCACCCTCCCTCCCTCCAGGATCACCAGCTGCCTGTCTGTGTC